AGACCCTGTCTCAAAAAATAAATAAAATAGGCCGGGCGCGGTGGCTCAAGCCTGTAATCCCAGCACTTTGGGAGGCCGAGACGGGTGGATCACGAGGTCAGGAGATCGAGACCATCCTGGCTAACACGGTGAAACCCCGTCTCTACTAAAAAATACAAAAAACTAGCCGGGCGAGGTGGTGGGCGCCTGTAGTCCCAGCTACTTGGGAGGCTGAGGCAGGAGAATGGTGTAAACCCGGGAGGCGGAGCTTGCAGTGAGCTGAGATCCGGCCACTGTACTCTAGCCTGGGCGACAGAGCGAGACTCCGTCTCAAAAAAAAAAAGAAAAGAAAAAAAAAAGAAAATCAATTTATGTAATTTACCACAATAGCAATGAAAAGATAAAAATTATATAATGCTCTTAATAAAAGTATTTGATTATATTCAACATCCATCCATAATGATTTCTTTAAAAAGCCTTTGCAAGTCATGAATAGGATGGAACTTTTTAACTGCATAAAGGGTATCCACAAAAAGTTGCAGCAAACATTGTCCTTAATGGAAAAACACTAGAAACCTTCCTTAAGGTCAGGACAGAACAAGGGTATCCACACAACTATCCATATTCAACACCATACTGTGACAATCGGCACAGTTAGGCAAGAAAAAGAAATAAAAGTATGAGGATTGAAAAGAAACAACTTTGTCTTTTGCAGTAAAATCACTGATTTCTTTCAAAAATCAACTGAATTTCTATATGTTTGCAACGAACATAATAAAAAGCTGACTTTTACTATGACTTCTAAAATACAAGCATCTAGGAATAAAGGTAACAAAGCATATGCATGACAGCAGAATCTCGTAAAACTCAAAATACATTCAAGACCTAAGTAAATAGCTTGGTCATGAATTAGAAGACTTAGTACCATATAAATGTCAATTCTTGGCTGGGCGCGGTGGCTCAAGCCTGTAATCCCAGCACTTTGGGAGGCTGAGACGGGTGGATCACGAGGTCAGGAGATCGAGACCATCCTGGCAAACACGGTGAAACTCCGTCTCTACTAAAAAATACAAAAAACTAGCCGGGCAAGGTGGTGGGCGCCTGTAGTCCCAGCTACTTGGGAGGCTGAGGCAGGAGAATGGTGTAAACCCGGGAGGCGGAGCTTGCAGTGAGCTGAGATCCGGCCACTGCACCCCAGCCTGGGCGACAGAGCGAGACTCCATCTCAAAAAAAAAAAAAAAAAAAAAAAGTCAATTCTCCCCTACCTGCTCCACAGAGTTAAAAAACTTCCAATTATAAGCCAAATGTGGCTTTGTGTGAAACTTAAGAAGATAATTCTGGCCAGGCGTGGTGGCTTATATCCGTAATCCCAGTACTTTGGGAGGCCGAGGTGGGTGGATCACCTGAGGTCGGGAGTTCGAGATCAGCCTGGCCAACATGATGAAACCCTGTCTCTACCAAAAAAAAAAAATACAAAAAATTAGCTGGGTGTGGTCGTGGGCACCTGTAATTCCAGTTACTCGGGAGGTTGAAACAGGAGAATCGCTTGAACTCGCGAGGCGGAGGTTGTAGTGAGCCGAGATTGCACCACTGCACTCCAGCCTGGTGACAGAATGAGACTCTGTCTCAAAAAAACAAACCAAAACAAAACAATCAGACAGGCGCGGCGGTGCACACCTGTAGTCCCAGTTGCTCAGGAAGCTGATGTGGAAGGACTGCTTGAGCCCAGGATTTAGAGGTTACAATGAGCTATGATTGAGTCACTGCACCCCAGTCTGGGCCACAAAGTGAGGCGCTGTCTCTAAAAAACAAAAAGATGACCAGGCACGGTGGCTCACACCTGTAATCTCAGTACTTCGGGAGGCTGAGGTGAGAGGATCACTTGAGCCCAGGAGTTCAAGACCAGTATGTGCAACATAGGGAGACCCTGTCTCAAAAATAAATAAATAAATAAATAAATAAAAACAAATTACTAAACCTCAACAGAAAAAACAATCAAGTGGGAAGAGCAAGGTACAAAGTGGCCCAGCGCCTGCTGAAGAGTGGATGGGGTGCTCAGGGACATGGGCACCTGGAGGACACTCTGGGAACCCGGCAGACAGAGGCAACAGACAGGCACTGACACACACCCCGTGGGCCACCTAGGAGCACCATGTGTAACGGTGCTGAGCCAAAAGTGCCGCAAGGAAACCCAGGGCACAGGCCTCCCAAACGACAGCCCAGCATGCCTGGTTCAAGCTCCTAGGGACACACTTCTCCAGCTGCTTCCCAGAAGGAGAACTGAAATGAGACCAGCATCCCAGCCAGGCAAACGGTCAATGTGCACACTCCACCAGGCTGACACGGGGCGCGCACCCAGACGCTGCTCAGAGAGCAAAGAGATGCTAATAATTGGACGGGGGCATTTTCAACACAGCCAAGAAAGGATGACTATCTCTAAAGAAACTGCTGACACTGAAGCAGAAAAAAAGAGAAAGAAAAACTGGCAAAGGAACAGGAATTTCACTGAAAAGGAAGTACAAATGGCCTAAATTAGTAGCCAGAGAAATTCAAGTTAAAACCACCATACCACTTCACACCCACCAGACTGGCAAAAATTAAGTTAGATGAGTGTTGGCACAAATGTGGAGCAGTGGGGACTCTCGTCCCTGTCAGTGGGGGCCAGAGCAGGCACGACCACTCTGGAAAACTGCCCAGCAGTAATGCTGAGTGTGTGCACACCCCCACCATAAATCTTGGTAGCTGGCGGCACACGCTTAAGACAGGCCCTGCCCATCCAGGAAGACACACAGAAGGCAGGCACAAGGATGTCCATGGTAGCACAGGGCTTGTAATTAGCAAAAAAAAAAAAAAAAAAACTGGAAACAAGCCAAGGTCCCTTGACAGAAGCAGAGCCGAGGTGCGATCATGCCAGAGCACAGTACACAGCAGTGAAGACGCCGAAAGCCATCAGCACAGATGCAGCCCAGAAACTTCATGGCTGGCAAAAGTGAGGAGTACAGAAGAACACAGGAGGAACGAAGCAAAAGTAAGTAGCAGACTGTCCAAGTGTGCATGGACAGGTGGCACAAGCACAAAGCAAAGCTGGGGGCAAGCCTGCCTATGAGGGGCCCTATTCCAGGACAGGTAAAGGCAGGAGCTCATTATGAGGCTGAGCTGTTCTACGAACAAACTGCATGTGCCCACCCGGACAGCTGCGCGGCTCGCCCCTCCGCCCATCAACTCCATTCCACACCAACGGAACAAACCCTGTCCTCCTGCCTACCCTTCCTCCCAACCCTGTCCAGGCCAGAGCCCGGGACCCCCCAGCACTTTGTGCTGCCCAGCCCAGGTGCCCCCATCTACCCCCTGTCCTAACCAGCCTTCTCGAAACCTGCCCTACCCACACCCTCCCCACAGACACCAGAGTGGGCTTTCTAGACCCCTGGAGAATAGAGCACAGTTCCACAGTGGGGCTGATAAGGCCCCCACCTCCCTCGGGTCACAGACTTTGCTGCTCATTCGGAGGGACCCAGGAAGCTGCTGCGGAGGTTCAGCAAGGGAAGGCTAGTGCTGCAGTGCTGGAGCAGGGAGCGCCAACAGCCGGCATGAAGGTTCTGGGGCTGTGGGTGAGGCAGTGACTCACAGGGACAGACAGGAGAAGAGTTGTGGGGCCGTGGGACCTGACATTGAGGCAATCGCCAAGACCTGGAATGGAGAAGCAGCCAGGCCTGGGGAGATGCTCCTGGCTTGGGCTTTGAGGCCCCAGAGGCTTCCCAGAAGAGAGGCAAGTAGGCACATCTGCAGTGCTTGGCCCCAGACCTTGGGCAAATGCTGACCCTTAGGTCTCATATGGATATGGGGTCCTTCGGGAGGCCCTGCCAGGTGCAAGAGTCGTGCTGGGTGGCCATCCTTCCTGTCCACCCTTCCTGTCCACTCAGCATAACCAAAGCCCTGAGGTCCCAACCCTGCGCTCCAGGAGAGCAACCCCAACACCACGCTCAGAAATGCAGGTTGTGGGAGCCACAGGAAAGCACGAGAGGCCCACCTGCAGCTGACTGGTGGTGGAACAACTCAATGCCACGTGGGGTCCCCTCCAGGCATACTGGACGCTTCCAGTGCCTGGAGGGTCCGCTCACCCTCCCATCTCCCCAGGGAGAGCTCTCACTACCCCCACCTGCCTCCTCTTCTAGCCTGCTGTCTATTCTAGAACCACAACTTTTCCGGAGAGTGTCTCCTTCTCCTCCTTAGCCTGGGAGCTTCCTGAGCAGGAACTACCAAGTCATAAAAAAATTACAAAAGTTTCAAACTGAGCAGGAGACACAGGGAAGCTGCAAGTCCAAGGAAAGCTGGGCTATGGCCGGAGGGTAAATCTTGTCCAGTCGTTACCGCTGGCGACCGGGCGCCCCCTACCAAAGGCAGAGCAGCCAGCCTTCCGCAATGGCAAGATCAACAGGGAGGCGCAAACAGCAGTACTGGCTTGGAGAGGTCTCTAAATGAGAGACAGCGCCAACCAGGTACCCGCGAGGACGACCCCGCCCCGCAGGACAGGGCATCTCCACCGCGCGCTGGACGGAGGATACAACGGAGTCCTGCGCGCCCCGTGCGCCGTGGGTCGCTCCCAGGCCGAGATCTGACAGTGTCGCCGCCCGCGAAAGGAAGCGTGTGGTACCCGAGAGAGGAAGCACCCTCGTCGCCCCGGCCCGCACCGCATTGAGGCAGGTGTGCAGCTGTGCAGGTGCGGTTGCGGCGAGCCAGGTGACCGCCGCCCGGGAGCCCCAAGGTCCCGCCGGGCCTGAGCAGCACAGGGTCCTCAGAAGCTGAGCGCGGCCCCGGACGCTCAGGACCTGGGGGGCTGGGGCCGCGCTCGCCAGCGCTGTGGGGGGCGGCGGCTGCGCGCATCGAACGGGCTGGCGGGCGCGGGAGGGGGCGACCAGGGCTCCGCTGGGGGACCCGGGCCGGGGGTGGGGCGCGCGGAGGCCGCGGCCAGGACACCCCCGGCAGGTGCCCGGCGGGAACAAAGCGCGGCGGGCGGCGCGTACCTGGGCACGCAGCTGGGGCTGGAGCCGTCCACCTCCCAGGTGGCGAACAGGTTCATGGGCACGGGCGTGTTGAGCGCGCCGGGCGCGCCGGGGAGGCCGAGGCGGCCTCGCTCGGCCATGGCGCCGGCCCCGGCCCCGCCGCTCCCTCGGCGGCCTGGGGCTGCGGCCGGGCCGCGACCGCGCGGCGGGCGGGCCGGCGCGCGGAGGGCGGCGGCGCGGTCACATGGCTGCCGGGCTGCGAGGGGACGGGCCGGGCCCGGGCATCGGACAGGCCCGCGGGCGGCACGAGCTGCGGCCGCTCCGCCCCGCCCGCCGCGCGCCCGGCGCCCCCGGCCGTCCCGCGCGCGCCCGGCGCCCTCCGACCCGCGTCGGCGCCGCCGATTGGCTGGGCGGGGCGCGAGCTCGCCGCCTCGAGTCCAATCGGCCGCCGGCGCAGCGCCGCCGGAAATGAGGTGCGCGCGCGCTTCCTCGGCGTCAGCTCTCGGGCGTCCCCGCCCGCCGGTGCGCGAGAGCGCGCACTCACGCGCCTGCGCACAGGCCCCGCCCGGCGCGCCCCGCCCCGCCCCCCGGGAGCAGCGGGCAGGGTCGGGGAGAGACGCCGGGTTCCCCTGGGTCTTGGCCAACCTTGGGCGCCGCCCCCTAAGGAAAGCTCATCGTCGCCCTGGCGATGCCCGCCTCCCCACGCGCGGATTCCCCGGCCCCGACGCTTTCCCGCCTGCACCCCGCCATGCCCCGGGTCTCCCCGCCCCCGCTGCCCTCAGCGCCCCTTGTGTCCTGCCGACCCCCGCTGGGTGGGCCGGGCTGTGCTGGCCTCGCCCGTCCCCGAGCCCCTCCCCCGCGCCCCCCTGCGCAGGTTCCCCGGGACGGAGGTGGCCGGGCCTGGCGGCGGCCGCGAAAACGCAAAGCCGCTCGGGGCGCCAGGCTCCCGACCTCAGCCCCCTGGGCTCCCAGATGCCCCCGGGCGCCCTCTTTGCGTCCCAGCATCCTTATTCAGCGCCGCTTTTCAGAGTTGAACTCAGGACAATGGAGAACAAATGTCTGGAGCCAAGGCTGGCTCCTGGTCCTGGAGTTTACAGTGAACTTGAGGACCCAAGCAAAGAGGAGGCGATAGCTAGAGCCGCCGGGCCTGACGTCTAGGCTCTGGGGCTCAGGGAGGGTGGTTCCCCCATCTGTTTGGCAGCGGCTCTGGTCCAGCACCAGATGCTGCGCCGAGATTTAGGAAATGGTTTTCTGGCCTCTCTTCTGTTTCCTTGTTTCACAGTTAGTTTACAGTTGCTTTTCTCTCCGCCCTGTGTCTTGTTGTCTACAAGTAGTTTTACTGAAACAAATCCAGCCCGAGCAAATTGACTTGGAGCTGGTTTCTCCCCTGGCCCACGGGGCTTGCCAGCCCAGTGCCCCTGTCATCTCCTTCTGCAAAGGCCCTCATGCCGCTGCTTCCTCCGTTGAGAGAGCTCAGCCTCCAGCTGTAACTCCTGTATCTAGAACTGCAAACAGCTGCGACTGCTTAAAGCCAGGGTCCCACTTGGGAGAGAACAAGGGAATCTGTGTTTCACACGTGCTCCTGGCTCCTCTGGGGTGGTACACTGAGAGCCACGAGGGTCTGTCTGACCTCGGCCAGCTGACTGGGGTATTGTCTTACGTTGCTGCTCGGAGGGCAGAGCCTGTGGATCTCATACCTTTGAGACAGGGTAGGGGTAGAAGTGACTATGTCCAGAGAGGGGGTAGCCGTACCCCAGGAGGACAGGGCTGGCTGTGATGGGAGGGCAGGAGACAGGCACCCATTGACCCCAGAACTGAGCGTACGGAGCTGCTGGACCTGGCGAGTGTGCAATTGCAGTCAGATGGATGGGCCGCCTGACACATTGTGCCTGTGTGCGCCAGCGTCTAACCCAGGCAGGGACTACAACTGGGGGTCAAGTGAGGAGATGCGGGGTGACTAAGCCGTGCACGGCAGGGCTTGGCACCAGCTGCCACCATTGAGCAGTGCCCTTCCTCTGTGCCAGGCACCGTTGTGAGGCCTTAAGGGACATGACAGCTCTGTCCCATCCCAAGTGACAGAAGAGGAGACGGCAGCCTGTAAGGTTATGCAGCTGCCAGGGGTCAGGATGTGACCCATACAGTCTGTACCAGAGTGGCCCCAAGTACCCGTATGGTGGGTCTACATCAATGCTTCTGCCAGGCAGGAAGGCAGGGACACAAAACACACCATGCATCACACCTGTGACCACATTTATATTTGTTGTTAAGGTGGGATGGTGGTGATGGGACTGTGGTCTTCTCTATTTTCCAAGTGGACAGATGTCCCTTGGGTGATCAGAGTAACTTTTTAGCCAGAACCTGTTATTTGCACTTCCCTCCTCTGTTGGAAAATGACGCTGTGCTGGTCCTTCTCTTGTGGGCTGTGGGTCACAGGGGGAGATCCCTGAAGGCTGGGCGGCACCCCTCCCCATGACCCCATGACCCTGGCATGGTGTGAGCCCCCACCCCCATGTTTGGAGCACTGGTGCTTTCTCTGGTAACGTTTTCTTTAAAGCAGAAACTTGGTTTGAGACAAACCTCTCGGATGACTGGGGTGGCTGGGCATGGTTGGGGAGGAGGTCCAAGAAGAGGGTCCTTCAGAGCCCTGGAGTCCCAGGAGCACAACCTGAAAGCTGGTCCTACCACGTGCTGCCCCGGAGCCCGGGAGGTTGTGGGAGTTATTATTTAATAAGGTAAAGCCTCAAGGTTCCGAATGCTTGAATAGGACTCCATTCGTATTAAAAAGACGAATCCCCAACCCCTGGCCATGGGACAGGATGGGCCGAGGCCTTTCCCCTGTCCGCCTGGCTTTGCTAGGTCCCTCCACCTAGGGTCAAGGCTCGGGCTTTTCCAGTCGGGCACCAGGACCATGGGCTCCTTGGAAACGCATTCATCTCCTCAGCCTGGGCTAAGATGACACAGACACACGGCAGGCCCTGCCGGAGTCAGAGAGTCGGGGAGGGGCCAGTCAGGTGAGTGGCAAGGGCCTCCTCCAGGGCCAGCACTGGTCAGTTGGCGGCTCCAGCCCACAGCGCCCCTGCTTTTCCTCCTGCCAGGAGCTGGGCTGAGGAAGCGGCCCCATGTGGCCAGGTCCCTGCCCAGCCCATGCTATGGCTGAGGGACAGAACTGCCGAACCCCTAGACAGGCCCTGCCACGTCCACTCCCGTGCTTGGAGCCCGTGGCCATCACTGAGGCTGAGGAGGAAACGTCACAAAGAAGGTACAGCAGGGCCTTCCTCCTGGAGGCATTTTCTGGGGGCCATCTGGGGGATGGCCAGGAGCTCTGAGACTGCTGAGATCACTGCACCGCAGCCACACCTGCGGACAGTTCCTACGGTCACCCTCAGAGCAGCTCAACTACTGAGAGTGAGGCCTGGAATCAACCCCGGGTTGTAGAGTAGAACAGGGTTAGGTGAGCTGTGATAGAACCTGATAGAATATTCTACAGCTGGCAGAAATAGTGAGTTAAAAGTAGCTGAAAACAGACCAGGCGCAGGGGCTCACACCTGTAATCCCAGCACTTTGAGAGGCCAAAGCCCACAGATCCCTTGAGTTCAGGAGTTCAAGACCAGCCCGGGCAATATGGCAAAGTCCCATCTCTAACAAAAATACAGAAACGTACCTGGGCATGGTGGTGCGCGTCTGTGATCCCGGTAACTTGGGAAGTTGAGGTGGTAGAATCACTTGAACCCAGGAGGTGGAGGTTGCAGTGAACCAGGATCACACCACTGCACTCCATCCTGGGGAACAGAGCCAGGTTCCATCTAAAAAAATAAAGATAAAAAACCTGGGTACAGTGGCTCATGCCTGTAATCCCAGCACTTTGGGAGGCCGAGGTGGGCAGATCACCTGAGGTGAGGAGTTTGTGACCATCCTGGCCAACACAGTGAAACCCCGTCTCTACTAAAAATATAAAAAATTAGTCGGGCATGATGGTGGGCGCCTGTAATCCCAGCTACTCAGGAGGCTGAGGCAGGAGAATCGCTTGAACTCAAGAGGCAGAGGTTCCAATGAGCCAAGATTGCGCCACTGCACTCCAGCCTGGATGACAAGAGTGAAACTCTGTCTCAAAAAAAGAAAAACGTATGTGAAAATACATGTCCATGTAAAGTATGTATTTACATGTTAGTGATTATACATGTAAAACACCTATTTTCAGGTGTAGAAAAATATTGACAGGGTACAAATTAATCCAAAGTATTAAGAAAGTATCTCTGTGTGGTGGGGATTCCATTGATTTGGTTTCTCCTTTTTCCTTACCTTTATCTCCTATTTTCTCCACGATGAACATGCGTTAACTGTGGAGGGAAAATCAAACCACAGCAGGGTGAGCTGCCACCGGCTGGAGAGTCGGGCGCCATCTGACTGGGGCTGCACCCCGTCCTAAAAAAACCAAATGAACAAAGGGAACCCTCACCCCATGCAACAAACTACCGAGGATGATCTTTGTAAGAATACTGAATGTTTCACTAGGGTAACATTCTTTTTTGTCTTTTCTTTTCTTTTGAGACAGAGTCTTGCTCTGCCTGTCGGCCAGGCTGGAGTGCAGTGGCATGATCTCAGCTCACTGCAAGCTCTGCTTCCTGGGTTCACACCATTCTCCTGCCTCAGCCTCCTGAGTAGCTGGGACTATAGGCATCTGCCACCACACCTGGCTAATTTTTTGTATCTTTAATAGAGATGGGGTTTCACCACGTTAGCCAGGATGGTCTCGATCTCCTGACCTCATGATCCACCCACCTCGGCCTCCCAAAGTGCTGGGATTACAGGCGTGAGCCACCATTCCCAGCTCACCAGGGTAACATTCTTAATATCAAAGGAAATCATACAAGTCCATAAGACCATTAAAAAATTCCCAGTGGAAAATGGTTAGAGAAGCTACAAAAGATTCACAAAAGAACAAGTGAGACAGTTGTCACTACTATCAGGAATTGTAAATTATAAAAAGATGCACATGGCTGGGCGCAGTGGCTCACATCTGTAATCCCAGCACTTTAGTAGGCCGAGATGGGCAGATCACCGGAGCTCAGGAGTTCAAGACTAACCTGACCAATATGGTGAAACCCCATCTCTACTAAAAATACAAAAATTAGCCGGGTGTGGTGGCAGGCACCTATAGTCCCAGCTACTTGGGAGGCTGAGACAGGAGAATTGCTTGAACCTGGGAGGTCGAGGTTGCAGTGAGCCAAGATCGTGCCACTGCACTCCAGCCTGGGCAACAGAGTGAGACTTTGTCTAAAAAAAGAAAGAAAAAGAAAAAAAAGAAAAGATGTACATAACACCTTCTCTTTGATACAGGCTAATCTAGACCTAATACAGACCTAAGGTTGTGAGGACATCCTCAGTGTCCTGCACGCTGCTCCCCTCCTGGGTTAGGTACAGGCAGCGCAGCTCCTTCACCCAGCACCTGGAGCGGGACCCAGAGCAGCCCTAGAGAATGGCTTGGCAGCATCTTGGAAGATTTGCCTGGGCTCATGGGTATCCCATGGCATCCTGCAGGTGACACTGGAAATGTCAACAGGGACGCAGGTCCAGGTGTGTGAGATATTTCAAACAGCAACACTTACAGAAAGGAATGTCCGG